TGATGTCAAAAGTGCAACAGAGAACATCAAATGAGACCAATCAAACTCTTGTTGAGGAAACTGCAACCAAGAAAAGACGCTGGGAATCTGATTTGAGTTTATGTAGATTCTGAAACCGGCCCTTAAGCTTGAAAAAGGTTTTAATATTGGCCCCCTTTTGTAAGTGAGTTTGATGTCCCTGCTCTAAATTGTCCCTAGGTGTGAGTGAGAGAATGAATGATTGTTTGTCTCGTTTGTCTCGATGTGTCCCTGTGATGAACTGGAGACCTGTCCAGGGTGTCCCCCACCTCTCGCACAGTGCTGGACATGGGCATCAGTGAACTCAGTGACCCCAAAAGGAAGAAGCAAGTAAAGATAATGGATGGATCTTTCCTGGTAAAATAAAGGTTTAATTTATTATTATTATTATTATTATTATTATTATTATTATTATTATTGTTATTATTGTTATTATTGTTATTATTATTATTATTATTATTATTATTATTATTATTATTATTATTATTATTATTATTATTATTATTATTATTAAGTGCTGAATTGTTTGTTCATCATAAAACAAGACTAATAAAAAATACAGCTATTTCAATATTTAACTTTTTTTTCCTGAATACAAAACCTCATATACTGTGTAAAAGCTCGAGTCACATTTCACTTTACATTTTGCTTTCAAGGAGCCAAACTTAAAGGTACTTTAAAAAAAAAGTACTGTTAATCAAACTTTCTTTAATCTTTTTTGAAGAAAGTTTGAAATAAACATTGTCTTTAGATGCTGGCTGCATTGTTGGCCAGTTTCACTCTCTTTGTTATTAGCAACCAAACACTATTTGTTACCATGTTATGTAGTTAAATTCACAAAAAAAAAATTTTTTCAGATATTAAATGGTATTATTGCACCAACAAGGTTCTTTCCAAAGCGTTATTAGTAAAAATGTGTAACATATTAGATGCTCAACTGAAGCATGATGCATCTCTCAGGTTCCATGTTGAGTTTTTGTTGGATTTGTCACTATATTATTTAATCTCAACTTCGGACTATGTTATTCTCTTGTAGATAATTTCATAAAACCTGACACTTTGTTCTCGACTTGTCCACCTCTTCATTTTGAAGCACACACAGCACAATGTGCTGGTTAGGTACAGGGACAAGACAGAAGACCAGTAGAAAAAGCAGTCAATGTCCTTTTTTTTATTGACTTCTTTGATATAATGTCTGCAAAGCAAAGTATAAGTATAGTATACACATAGGGAGGGTTAGTAATTTAGTCAGCTTTGCACGAGCCTGAACATACAGTATCTACCTTTGTCATTTCAGCAGCCTCCTGACAACAACACAAGGTCTTTCTCTCGTTTTATTGCTTTAAGATCATTTTTGAGACATTACTGCATTCTACTGATTGCTCACGAGTGGATACTTTGTCACATTAGTCAAGCATGTATTTTAATTCAGTTATATTTTGGGTTTACTCGTAATTTAAAAGATCCACTCTAAAACGGCTTTAGAGCAAAGCAGTGGCCCAGCCACCAAACTTTCAATGTCCCACTTGAACGGAACAGCTTGATGAGCCCCCGCAGTCTGTAGAACCTACAAAGGATCCAAGCAGAACATCATGAAAGAACCCAAGTTCCTGAAGTCAGAGGGACTTTTGCAGATCAAGGATTTTTATAATGTACTGCAGAAAGGTTTTAATGATTTTTCTGCTCTGTTCATTTCACTTACACCGTGCTGAAACATTGATCCTTAAAGTTTGTCTAGTACATCATATCTGACATGTTTAGTATTTATACATACACGAACATTACAATGTCCTAATGAACTACTGATTGTGTTTTTATGACCATGGCACTAAAACTAAAAGTAAAATCATGTTTGCACACCCCATAATAAATCTTTATTTATCACTGTTCTGACAATAAAAACATGTTCTTTTGATTTATGTTCATTCGATAATTTTCTATGTGGAATACAATCAAAATATGAACTCACATAAAGCACCCCCCCCCACACACACACACACACACACACACACACACACACACATCACAACATGACCCAGCACAACTTTGATAGAGGAACAAGCCCATATCAATGAACAAGCTGTCAAATCAAAAAGTAGGGTCTGTGAACAAATGTGCTAAATGTTGGTGGTAATTGCCATCTAGTGGCCACTTCGTACCTTGCAAAAATAATTAAATAAATTGCATTAAATTAAAATGTCTAAATCTTATTTATTTTCTTACTCACTAGTCAACAATGCACAGATCTTTCATCGGACATGTTTAAAAACTTTCATCAGGAGGACTTCTCCTGTCCTAAAGTAGATAAAAACATAACATCACCTTCAAAAATGACAAGTGTGGAAAAGTGTGAGACAGTCTAACTTAACGTGGTTTGTCTTCAAACACTGAATAAATAGTGATATTTGTATGACTATTCTATATTAGCTGAACTTTCATGGTACTTTAGTCGATATTATTGTTGGCATTTATTGCATAAATAAAAAATAAAAAAACTGGAATACCCTTGTTACATTTAAAGAATAATATTGTGATATGACTTCTAATAAGGCCTCGATTTCTTTAAGGATGATTTGATCTTTATCGATGTTCCGTTCAAGTGTTGTCAGAAATATTGTCAGTCGTCATAACCTTATTTGAAGAATGACGTCACAAAATAAAATGCCACGTGCATGCATTTGCTGTGTTGTGAAAAAACACAGGAAGTATTTGTTGGCTATTTTCCTCTCGAAAATTATTTCTTGGGGAGCTAAACGATGTGGGGTTTTTTTTGAAAGTACGACTCGCGGAAAAGGATATTTACGAGCAACTGCAAGGTCTTGAAGGCAACTTAAAGAGGGAGGAGTCGAGGTTACTGCTGCCGCCTGCCGGCCGCACCGCACGAGCTCTGTTAGTGAGGAGACCGTGTGAACGTGGTAGCGCCTATTCATTGAGCGTACAGGCACAAAAATGTCGGGGAAGAGTTTTCGAGTTAGCGACGGCGACTGGATATGTCCAGATAAAAAGTAAGGGCTTGCATTAAATTAGGTCCCAGTGTGCTTACATGGGGTCAGATTTAGCAGCTGACATGACTATTATTGTGTTGCTTGTGCTAATAGGCTAGTAGCTAATATCTTAGGCCTTGTAGCGTTTTGCTCATGCTAAAGGCCTGGAAATTTATAGTCAACTTCTTCAAGAGCTACTTTTACATGCGTTTTACCCTTATCTGTTTCTATGTATAACTAGCTGCATAGCTCATATTAACATTCACTTAAAGAGATTTAGTTATGGAGATATTTTTGCGTCTCTTGTGTTGGCGTTAGCTTCGGGCTATCAGATTAGCATGCAGCTGTCGTTAGCCCGTGGTGTAGATGTGTCCACTCGGAGATGGGGTGGTGTTTACCGTTAGTAATGAGTGAATAATCTTCATGCGTGGTCAGCACTATTATGTTTCCAGTGAACTCTGTTAAAATGTGATGGATGGCTGCAGATGTCAACAGTCAAGCTAACCAATCCTGTGCTTGTTAGCAGCACGAGCATACTAATGTATTCATTCATTATGCATTTTCAGGTGTGGAAATGTGAACTTTGCAAGAAGAACAAGTTGCAACAGATGTGGCAGAGGTATTTTCCTCTTCTTTAGTGTGCATATTAGATGTTTTATTTTTCAAAGGCTTGATGCATTTGTTCCAATAAACTTAATATTAACAAAAAAAATGCTTTGTTTTTCACAGACAAGACCACAGAGGCAAAGATGATGAAAGCAGGAGGAACAGAAATTGGGAAAACCTTTGCTGAGAAGAGCAGAGGCCTCTTCAGTGCAAATGATTGGCAATGCAAAACGTATTAAACTTTAACCTACTGTTATAAAGCATGCAAACAATTTTAGAAAATCTGTTTTATATTAAAAAGCACTAATTATGTATTTTTTTTTCTTCCTTGTTTTGACAAAGATGTGGTAACGTGAATTGGGCTAGACGATCAGAGTGCAACATGTGCAACACTCCAAAATATGCCAAGCTTGAAGAAAGAACAGGTGATTTCAGAGTTTGCCATTTGTAGTTTTGTGGCTACTTTACATTTACTTCTGACATCCACTGGACGGGTTCTTTGTTGAAATGTTTTACCTTTTATTCAAAATACTACTTCAGTCTGAGGAGCTGCTATAACTTGCCCATACTCAACCTTGTTAGATATATTTACCTGAATTATTGCACATGCATCAGGACTTACATTTATCATTTATTTATTTATTTTTTTTGTCTTTGTAATACCCCAGGTTATGGTGGAGGTTTCAATGAAAGGGAGAATGTAGAATATATTGAACGTGACGAATCTGATGGTGAATATGACGAGGTGGGTACATGTTGGCTCCCATCTATCAAAAAGCTCATATTTGAGCAATAAACATTTCAGCCAATTTTCAGATGCTTTAAAAGGAACGTGGAATGGATTGAAGTTTGATTTGAAAACTTTTTGTTTTCCCCATTTATCACAGTTTGGTAGGAAAAAGAAAAAGTTTAGAGGGAATAGCAGCAGCACAAGTTCCTCAAAAGAAACCGAAAAGAAAACCGTGTCAAAAGAAGACGAGGACGAGGAGGAAGACGAAGAAGAAGGCGACTTGTCAAAATACAAATTGGATGTAAGATTTTGGATTTTAAACAAAACCTACAGTTTATTCTCATGACAGCCTATGACTGTTTAACGTTAAATTTCACCTCTTTACAGGATGACGATGAGGAAGATGATGGTGATCTGTCCAAATATGACTTGAATGCTAGTGATGAGGAAGAAAAGCCAGCCAAGAAAAAAGGCAGTCGCTCCGGTTCATCCCGCTCCTCCTCTCGCTCGTCCAGCTCCAGCTCTCGGTCCAGGTCCAGGTAAAAGGGTATACAGGTCAAGGGTAACTCCGGGCAAAATGTCAGTATCAGCTCAATCTTTTTTCTGATTTAATTATCGATATTGGATATTGTTCTGTATTGTCATTTTGTTGTTTTCCTTTTTTTTTATCTCCTTATCTGCAGATTTGCTCAATGCACATATCATGTTTGGACATAGTCTCTAGTTTTCAATGTTTTTAACTTGATATGCAAATATTGAGAGCTTTCTTTTTGCCCTTTCCTTTTGTAGACTAATCTGCAAAACTTATACAGGATCAATGTTTTTCTGTTTTGTTTGTGTTTTGAGTATCTTATGTGGTTTTTTTGTTTTAAAACTTTTAAAACATCAATGTCTTATGACTATTGCTAGCCTTTTTTTGGAGCTCCGATTTTGCAAACTAGTGTTCACATTTTGCCATGTTGCATTGCTTTTCATAGTTGCTGACCTTGCTTTATTACCCTGATACCCAGTATTACCCTGTATGTAGATCTATTCCCATTTTTTGAAAATATTGGAAAGGTTTTTGTTGTTCTTGTCTTTCAGGTCCCGCTCTAGAAGTTCTTCCAGTTCCAGATCTGGATCTCGCTCAAGGTCTCGCTCCAGGTGAATGAGGTGACATACACTCTCTCCCTTTAGAGAGTGTATGTGTGGAGCACCAAGCTCCATACCAGTTCTACACTTAAACTCTGAATTTTACTTAATTAAAAATAGGTCTTGTATTTTATGCAGGTTTGTTTAGACCTAAGTGTCTGGGGTAATTATCGCACCTCTCTTAGGAGTGATGTCTACTCCACCTAAAAGGATGCGTATTTATTAAAAAGAAGCAAACTTTTTTTTTTTATTAAAGCGATTTCTAGAACCCGTTAAGCATCTTAAGTCAGTTATTACTTGTGTTATTAATCCAGCGCTCTTAGCAGAGAAGCTTGATAAATACCCAAACTGGTGAGCCTGTTTTGATTTTACTGACCTTCCTGCTTGGTTTATTCCTCCAAAAGATCCAGCTCCAGGTCTGGAAAGGGCTCCTCACCCCAGAAGAAGTCCCCCTCCCCCTCCTCCTCACCCGAGAGGGGGCAGAAGCGCAGTCGCTCCAGGTCTTCGTCTGGAGAGAGAAAGCGGAGGCGTTCTAGATCGCGTTCGTCCGAAAGGTTTGGGTTTCTGTGGAATACCACAATGGCACTGATTATTGCTAGCCATCTGTTGGGTCTTTGTTTTTGTTTTTTTGTTTTTTGGAGTTCAGATTTTGCAAACATAATGTTCACATTTTGCCATGTCGCCTTGCTTGTTGACCTTTATGTATACATGACGTACCCTCGTTTGAGCCAGCTGACCTTGTGGTTCTTCCCTCAATGTCTGTGATTCCAGGTGCCGTGGCCATTCGTCTGGATCGTCCCACTCTGGCTCCAGTTCAAAAAAGAAATAAGTTTCTTACAACCTCTAGACCATAAAGGAATTTTAGTGGAAGTGCATGATGTGTTGTGAAGAAAACAAGCACATCTCTTCAATATTCTGGTCGTTGTCAAAGTCTCCAAAATTTTCCTTCCTTCAAAACGACAGGCACCATGACATCACCCTGTCATCACCTTCATACTACCTTTTTAAAACTACATGCGTCCCAAGTGTTTGAAACCATAAGTGTCCAATAAACAAAGTGTTTGAGCTTACAAAAAAAACAAACGATCATTTTGAGGGTGCATTCCCTTTTAAAGCCATTCATTTTTTAATTTTTATTAAACTTTAACTTCAAACTCAAGTTCACAAGTGTCAACTGAGGATGACTGGCATGTAGTTAATTAAATCTAGTTGTATTTTTTTGTTTGTTTTCAAGGTAAGTATACTTTGATATTGTTTTAATTTTAATTGACTGTAAGTGAAATGTTAGATTTTACTTTAAGTGTACTTTTTTCTCAACGTTGTGACTTCTTGAGACATTTGTACCTTTTATTTTTTTGGCACTTGGGAATCAAATGGACTTAAAGTTTTAAATGTTTTCTGCTCCTGTATGTGACACAAACCACTAACACTTGTGGTAATATGACATCAAGTCTTTATTGGTAACGACTAAAATGTACACGTGTAAATAAAAACTTGTCGACCTTGCCACTTGATAATTCTGTGTCTAATTTTACAATCGTGAAAATGTTGGACTAAAAAGGTTAGATTAAAACTTGTTCTTAGAAAACAACAAGCTTAATGGGAGTGCGTGTTTATAAGAAATGCTGAAGCAGTGGTTTGATGAAAGATTGATCTCAAGCTTGGATATTTTAAAGTACTTAATTTTAAAAGTTGATTCTGGATGCTGTGCCGTTTGAAAGACGGCGGCCTGGGACAACTACGATAAAACTAAACGATAAGGTACACTAGGCTACACAGGTAACTTTTCAGGAACAGTTATTTCATGGGAAGTCTTTATAAAGACCCAATTTAAAGTAGCAACAACTAAGTGTTTGTAAATGCAGTGAAATCTTTGTTTTATATAAAAACCTGTCCAGAGATTAGTGTGCAATAAATTGCTCTGAAATTGACGGCCATATTAACTAAACTTTATATTCAGCATAAAATAATTGACATTTACAAAGTACTTTTTTTAAATTATTATTCACAAGAGTACAATGTTTTCACCAGTTATTCTCATTTTGATGATTTTGGCGTACAAATGATGAGAGAAAAATCTGCGACTAAGAACATTTCACAGCCAGCTTTGATACCGTGGGCAGGAACCAAGTCCTGGAAAATGAGTCTCCCATCAAGCTCGTCAGCAGAAAGAAGCAAGAGTTCAGTTTATATAGCGCCAAGTCACAACAAGCGCTCTAAAATGTCCTGGTAGATGCTGCGTTGACTTCAGAAAACTGGACCCAAACCATCACTGACTGGAAACTTCACACTGGACTCGATTCTGGACCTCTTCCTCCAGACTCTGGGATCTTGATTTATGACATGCAGAATTTGTTTTAATTTGAAAAGAGGACATTGGACCGCTGAGCAACAGTCCAGCTCTTTTTGTCCTCAGCAGGTAAGACACTTTTGACTCGTCTGGTTCAGGAGTGACTGGACTTGAGGAATGAGTCATTTGTAGATCGTGTCTAGGAGTTAATCAGATGCACCTGTTATTTTGAAGCTTATTTCTTATAAAACATTATTTTGGTCTTTGAAAGGGCACTGTGGGGCTTTCGGCCGGTGTTGTAGCTCCTTTGGATCAACAGATGGCACTTTAGTTCTGAGCTGAGAACTGAAACATTCTCAGGTCTGTAAAATATTGAGATAGACCTCTATATTCCATGGACTATGCTAAATATCCATTATATTTATGGTAAACAAGTTTAAAATCTGGGTTTGCTTATTATTATTATTTGTAAGTTTTGCTTTTCTTTTAATGCTGTCAGATAAAGGCTTTTTGCTTTTCAAATGTTTTCTAATGTTTTTGGTGTTCACTGAATGAGAATGCATTATAGAGAAGAACGTGTGAAGCACAGGGCGCATGTTACTGATGGAACTAAGACGTTTTTCCAAACGTGACTGAAACGCGCCTCTGCCCTGTCCTGCTGCTACTTTTCCTTTTTTTAATTTTGCTCAGGGATAAAGTTTCATCTAAAGACGGTTTATTTCTTCTTCAGTACTATCCTGTCTGTCTGATTGGATCTTGTTGGTCTGCAGAAAGGACAGATTAGCTTCCATCGTTGTTGTTTCATCTAACCTTCTTACAGACTAAATCTAAATGTATTAAACTCATATAGACAAAAACTGTAACACCAGTGAAGCTTTCCATAGGTTGTGATTATCATTTTGTTAATAAGCAGTGTCTGTGTTGCCCCATGCACGCGGAAGAGTCCCGCCTCCTCTGCGTAAAAGAGCAGAGACGCGCTTTTACGCACCGCAGTAACTTGGAGGAGCTGAGACTGCAGGAAGATGCCGGGCTGCTGCAAACGAAATATTTGCTCTCTTCAAACTTTCTCCTCCTTAGAGAATGCTCATGTGCAGCTGTGACTCTCTAGAAGACTCGAACCCCCCGGCTGGAGACATGGAGGGCTTCAACTCTTCCAAGATGTTGCGCAAAATGAACCCAAGTAACGGAACCGTGTCTGTTGGATTCCCAATAACTATGATGGTCACTGGCATGGTTGGCAACTCTTTAGCTCTTGTTCTGGTGTTTATATCTTACAGAAAGAAGGAAAACAGAAGGAAAAAGTCTTTCTTGCTTTGTATCGGATCCTTGGCGTTGACTGATCTGTTCGGGCAGGTTCTGACCACTCCAGTTGTCATATCAGCCTACCAGGCCGGGCTGCACTGGAATATTATCGATCCATCTGGCAAACTATGTACTTATTTTGGTGTCTGCATGACAACGTTCGGCCTGTGCTCCCTCTTCTTGGCCAGTGCCATGGCGATAGAAAGAGCCATGGCGATAACAAACCCCCACTGGTACTCGAACCACATGAAGACCAGTGTGACCAAGCAGACTCTGGCTGTCATCTGGTGTTTCGGCTTGCTCTTTGCTCTGCTGCCCCTCGCAGGAGTCGGGGTGTACACGGTCCAGTGGCCGTACACGTGGTGTTTCATCAACACGACAAGTGACGGCAGGGGCAGCACGTTCTTCGCCATCACCTTTGCGGTTCTCGGGATCTTCTCTCTGCTCGTGACCCTGTCCTGCAACGTGATGACCATACGGGGTTTGATCCTCCGGTGCAAAACGAAGCCGGGCACGTCTCAGTCCTCCAAACAGTGGGAACGTCTCACCACGGAGACAGTCATCCAGCTGCTGGGGATCATGTGCGTCCTGCTCATCTGCTGGTCTCCTCTGCTGGTACGTTTCTTTAGGCGTCCTCAGCTTTCACTCATGTAATACTCCACAACCACGACGCACACCTTTAAATACAATACTCTGTAGTCTGGCAAAATAAAAGTCCTTGAATTGATGTGATAAACTGGAAGCTTCATGTTAAAACTTTCATTAGGTGCTTTAAACAAGAAAAAACAATGCGCTTGAAATGCTCCTTAGTTTCCATCACTCATGCAGCCAAACATTTAGCCCATTTTTGTTTTGCTTCTTTCAATTCGTCCACATTTAATCTGCTATATTTAAATATAAAAGTCCTCATTATGTAGGATTCATTTCCAAAGCTGCTGCCATTTTCCATTAGGTGATAATCCACTTAGGGGTCCTGTTTGAGGGTCTGCTCAGTGTGCTGTGAGACCATGCATTATCAGTCATATATTTAGAAATCCCATTAAGGATGATTATGAAATCCATTCCCCTGAGGTTACACAGAGACTCAACTCATAATGCATTTTTTTTCTTGATTATTTGAAAGAAAAAATCATAAAAATTAAAACATCACACGAAATCATTTCACTGAACAACATGATGCCTTCTCCACAACTTATCAGAACTTGACCGTTCAGTTCTTTCTCTGTGGAAAAGTGATGAATAAATAATATCTTACTGGTTGTAACTCTTTGAACTGCCTTATTTTCAATAACTAATCTGAGCAGATTGATAAATCCAAGTTAAATCAAGGCCAAAGTAGACTCATGCTTTCTTAAAACAATTCCTGTCCCAAAAGAGTTGTAGTGCTTCACGTAAATACTATTTTTATATAAAAATAAAAATTTGCTTGTCAATTTTGCATTACCGTATTTCATGCCATACACGTCGCATCAGTCCAAATATGTCTAATAAAGTGGAAAAAATCATAAATCTGTCAGTTTGCCGTATAAGTCGCGTATGTCACCGCTGATGCGTCACGTTTGTTACACGTCACCGCTAAATGTGTGCCGGTGTTGTGCCAAAAATCGATTGGCTGCCAAATGGCAGTCGTGGGAGTGTGCACGAGAGGCTTTAAGAAGAATTTAACAAGATTAACACTTTAATACAATTATTTGTTTGCTCAAAATTATAGCAAAGGTGTGTCTCAGTTGAACTTTTCCTTAATAAATGCACTTTAATGGTCAAATCAGCTGCATTTCACCTGGGCAGCAAGATGAAATGCAGCTGATTTGACGTTTGCTCCAGGAGTTCCAGAGCAAAGACAAAGGTGTCTTGGTATGGCAAGTCAAGTGTCTCATTAATAGCCACTTTTCCCTATTAATGAGACACTTGGCTTGCCATATGGGTCGAGGGCCATCTAGTGGCTGAAAATGGTAGTGTCCAATATTTTCCATTTCAGAATGAATGAAATCGTCAGATCTCCAACAAAAATTGCAAAATATGGGGAAAAAAAAACATTGCTTTGCTGTATAAGTTGCAGGCATGCTAATTTATGCAAAAAAACTGCAACTTATACACCGGAAAATACAGTACATGATTATTCTGACAGGACTATTATGATATTCATGCAGGAAGAGGCCCAAGCCGCACCTAAAGTGCTGCAGTTTATTGCTGCTGCCTCTTTATATGCTTGCAAATTACCTTGAATTTTTATGTAAATAACATGCAGTGAGTAATTAAAATTATGTACAAAATTATAAATTAGTGTTTGCATGAATTGCTATAAATTTTTTTTTTTAATTTATGTTGTAAGATGACAGCAGTCCACTTTGGTGTTTGTCTCACTTGGCCTAGCTGTTAGCTTATCAGTCCAGTATAATTTAAACTCTATTTCTCCAATGTGTCCATTCAGAGCTATCTACAACAGGTAAGATGTTAACTGTTCATAACCACACATGAAAAGCGCTGATTGGTCCGTTTAAGATCTCTCCAAACCTCTCCTCCCTCAGGTCCTGATGCTGAAGATGATCTACAACAATTTGTCCTCTGTTGCGTGTAACTCAACAACCTCAAAATCCAGCAGCAACTCAAACCAGGAAGTCCTTCTGGACTGTAACGTGTTTCTGACAGCGATACGCCTGGCATCCCTCAACCAGATCCTGGACCCGTGGGTCTATCTGCTCCTCAGGGAGATCCTGCTGCGAAAGTTCTGCATCATGGCCAATGCCGTCTCCAACTGCTCCGTGGAGGATCAGAAGGAGACCCAGACTGCTCTCGACACAATTAACAAGCAGAATCAAGATGGCAACGACCTTTTAAAATCACAAAGTAACTAGACTTGGACAGCGATTGCTACCTAATGACTCTCAGACCGAAAGGCTTTCAGAGATATAAGAACGTCTGAAGAAACAAAGCAACAAAGGAATGGATGACCTTAACACAAGGATCAGTGGGATCCAGACAGTTTTGTTTACAACACATTCCATTAAGAGCTACCCAACCAGCATGTGGATGCATGACTGTCTTCTTTTGCATTTGGCTGCTGTGCGGCCACCAGACATTTCTCATTGCCAAGTTCAATACAGACTTCTGCCAGAGCCAGCATTAGGGGGCGGCTCAGACTGCCAAGAGGTGCATCTCATGATTTTTACTCTCAGCTACTTGAAGCTATCTGTTTATTGAAGGACCTTCTATTATGAATGTTTCTGAAAACGACCAAGTGCTTAAATTTTGTTGTAAATATATATATCTATATATTTTTGCCAATCCACCCATAAAACACAAAGCGTGATAAAATGCTTGAAACTTGAGCAGTTGTTGATTGTACTGTTATTTATTAGTGTCATGGATTTAGCCGTTTCTGTTTGCAATTCTGATAATCCCTGCGAGGTATCTCTGGCTGTAATCTTGCTGCTCCCACGTGACCAGGAAGAAGAAATGTGAAGCCGCACTTGTAATGTGATGCGTGACTCTTTTCCTTTTTGGCAACTTTCTTAACATCGAGCGTGAAACTGTAGGTTTGTGATGATGAAATTTATAAAACTGTGGCTGCTGCTAGTTTCAAGTCTGTAGCAGTCAAAATCATTAATTTGCCTATTTGTTGCTAAATGTTCAATAATTTTAGCAGCCAATTAAAAGCTATTTTTTAAAATAAGTCTAAAGGTGGGATTTTAAGTTGTTTTTTGGGGGGTTTTTTACAATCTCGTGTAGTTTTACCATGATGCTTAGGAGTTACATGTTTAAAATGTTTAATATCAATGTTTGTGTTCTTTATTTTATTTAATTTTGACAAGTTAGATTTAGATTTGATACACAAAAGAAAGAAAATGCAGAAAAGACACTGTGAAATGTACTGTGAAGATTTAATTCTTTTAATATATATATATATATATATATAT